ACACACACCACCTCCCCCTGCCGCAGGTGTGTGTCGATAGTGGCGGCCTCTGCGCTGCGGGCGATGATCAAGCCTGGGGTGCTGGCAGTGGCGGCGCCCTGCTGCGTGGGCATCGCCTTCCGCCTGCTAGGGGCCGCCACGGGGCAGAGCCTGCTGGGAGCCAGGGCTGTGGCGGGGATGCTCATGTTCACAACCGTAACAGGCAAGCTCAAGGGGGTGGTCATTGCGCGTGTGTGAGAGAGTGAGTGCGAGGCACGGTGGTCGTCGCAGCTGCGTTAAAGCCTGCGCTGCATAGCTTGGGACGCTTGTGTGCCCTCTGCTCGCAGCACGCTGCCTCGCCGCGTCCCTACCGCGCCGTCTGACGCCTCGCCCACTCCCCTGCCCTGACCCCCGACTTTCGCCACCCCCTCCTGCGCCCAGGCATCCTCATGGCCCTCTTTCTCAACACCGCGGGCGGCGCCTGGGACAACGCCAAAAAGTACATTGAGAGCGGCGCTCACGGCGGCAAGGGCAGCGACGCGCACAAGGCCGCCGTCACCGGCGACACGGGTGGGCCGGCCGGCTTGTGTGCGCAGGGCTGGCCAATAGCGTGGGTGCTCGCGTGTGGTTGCCCTGGCTCCCACTCGCCTGCCTGGACCTCGGCTGATGGGGGCCCTGTGCACGCTGTGCTTTGCCGTGCTGCTGAACTGCTGCGCCGTGCCTGTGGCGCAGTGGGCGACCCCGCCAAGGACTGCTCCGGACCCTCCCTGCACGTGCTAATCAAGATGGTGGCCACCATATCACTCGTCATGGCACCCCTGTTCCTGGACTGATGCCAGGCGGGGCGCCGTCAGCAGAGGGCCACGGCGTGCTGACGCCTGATGGCCGCAGTGTGATGCGGCAGGCCCGGCGCTGCCCCCGCGCCTGGCGCCACCCAGCCAGCAGTCTCCAGCAGGCTTGTAGTGTAGATCCATAGTGTAGCCCCACACCGGTGCCGCCTCTGCTGGTGCGATCCTGACTTTAGTTCCCCTGAGCTTGACCATCGCCTGCTCCCTGTATTTCCCTTGCATTGCTCCTCGACCCCCGCACACTGTTATCCTGCCTCTGTTCCTTTCCCCATGTGTACATCACCATCGCCGTCTTATCGATTAATGCATGGGTTTGCTGATGGGCAGAGATGGAAGGATGTTCATTTGGCGCCCCAGCCGCCGCCTCGCTGGCGCTACCGCAGATTGAACGGGCAGTCCGCATTGGCGCAGGGCGCTTTGCCACACCTCCCTGCTGCCCTCCCAATATTGCATTGAGCCACCACACCCAAGGGGCCAGGTGTTGGACAAACGAGGGCTTGGAGGGCAAACTCGCCGATCGCTGTGGCTGGCCGTTGTTTGGCAAACCCAATCTGGTCCACACTAAGGCCATTCCGCATGAGGTCTTCCTCGGCGCCCTTGCTATCAGTGTCCAAAGGGAGGGGCCCAGCGGGCTCGCCAGACCCTCGCGGGCTTAGCATAACGATCGTGAAACGGCTTGTCTCAGCGGCTGTGATCGCGCTAGCCGTCCTGGGGCTCGCCACATTGCTGCGGCCGGGCGGCGATGGCAGCGGCGGCAAAGGTGGGTCGGCGGCTTCGCTTGTCTGGCATTATTTCGATTTGACTGCCTTTTGGGGATGTCAGCATTTGCACAGCTTCATGCCTTGGCTTCGGCTGCTCGATGCAGGCAGCGGCACGGCGCCCTGGACCGTGAGCGGCCTAGAGGCGGCGGTGCAGGCGCAGCACGGCGCCGGCAGCGAGGAGGGCGGGCAGGCCGACGCCGACTCGCTGGCGGCGGTGCAGAAGCGGTTTGAAAAGGCGGTGGCGCTGCCGCCGCCCGAGTTCCGCAGCCACGCTTCCGGCATGACCCTCAGCCCAGGGGCGGCGGCAGCGGCGGCGGCCTGCAGCGGCGCCGCCTGCGACCTGGTCCGCCGCTTTGTGCTGGCAGCGCAGGAGGCGGCAGCCCTGAGCGACACCGGCGGCTGCGCGGTGCAGCACTGCCCCGACGCGCTGGGCATCGGGCTGCGCCCGCTGCCCTACACCGCCTTCGCCTTTGGAAACTGCTGCGAGCCGTTCTACAACCGCGGCGCCCTGGAGGTGGTGCGGCAGCTGGTGGATGGAGCAGGCATGCGCGGGCTGGAGTGGTTCACCGGCTCATCCACCTCCTGGTTCCTGGCCCGCCTGGCGCACCTCACAAGCGTGGAGACGGCCAAAGGTGGGTGGGTGCGGGGGCCCTGGCTGCTGTGCAGTGGGCTGGCTGACTGCTGGCAATGGGGGTGCTGGTGTGAGGGTGGCACCATGGTGCGCGCCTGGGAGCAAGCGCCTGTTTGAAGCTGTGCAGCCTGCTTGCCCCCGCTGCGGGCACAGTCGGCCCCGGCACCTAGCCAGCCCACGGCCTCCCCTCCCCCACCTTCTCCCGTGCCTGCAGGCTTTGCGGACAAGGCTCGCAGCGTGGCGCAGGCGCAGTTTGAGCCCGCGTGGCTGGACAGCGGGTGGGACCTGCAGCTCATCCCGCCGCAGGGCCCTGTCACCACGTTTGCAGACACAGAGTCGGGGGAGGTGTTTGAGGAGTATTGCGCCCTGCGCTTCCTGCCCCACGGCGCGCGGTTTGACATCATCAGCGTGCAGGGCTTTGCCCGCATGGCGTGCCTGGCCCGCGCTGTGCAGCTGCTGGCGCCGCAGGGCGGCCTGCTGGTACTGCCGCAGGCGCAGCGGCCCGCCTACCGCGGTGCAGCCGCCATCGTGCCGCCGCACTGGCTGCGGCTCAGCGATGCGCATGAGATGGGCGAGACGGTGGTGTGGATGTCCATGCAGAAATGAACAGTATGGAGCCGCAGGCTATTTTCTTCCTATTCTTTGAGGCCGATCCTTGAGCTGCATGCACTGCGTAACATTTGCAGCGGCTGCAGCACAGCAGGAGGGAATGGAAGCCGACTAGCCGGTGCTAGCCCATATTTACACCGGTGCGAGCGGCGGTGGGTGTGCCGTGGGGCGTGGCTCCTGCGTCTGTGCCCCGGCACGGTCGGAATGTCCATCTGGCCGGAGATTACTACCAACTTGAAGCACGGGCCAATGCACAGCAAGGAGGGCATGCCTGCTTCATTGTATGCACCAGCAAATCAGGCGAGGCGGCGACGGGCACGGAGGGCGGTGGTAGGCGGGAGGGAGTAGGGCTGTTTGTGGGCGGGGTCTCACACTCTCCGTCAACATGCCTGGCATGTTGTGTGCTGAACGGTTCGCGGCAGCCCGTCCGGTAGGGACGGTCGAATTGGCACATCAGCGCACCTGGGGACCCATCTTTTTGAGGCTGGCAAGACAGCTGCACCGCCTCTGCCTCTTCCGTTCGTTTCCTTACAACTGTGCACTTTTATAGTGCTTCCTTAACCGGGCTGAGGGGCTTTGCCTTGCCTGAGCTTGAGTCGGTGACTGCAGCATCCTGGGGGGCAGCGTGGCGCTGGTTTGAGGCCAGCGGCCCCACGGCTGCTACCAGCCATGCAGGCGGGGCTGGAAGCCGCGCCGTGGCCAACATGGTGAGAGTCGCCCTTTGTCTAGTTCCCCTGCCGCTCTGCCGCTGGTAAACTTCTGCTGCTGCCAGGCCGATGATGTTCCAGCAGCAGCTCGTGTACGCCGCTGCCGCAAGCTCTCCACCCTATTCTTCTTCGCGGTGCTCGATCGGGGTTGCGGCCTGCCTGGCCGCTCCCTCTCCCCCTGTGGCGGGGCAGCGGGCTTCAGGCGTGACCCTAGCGCCGCCGCCAGGCCGCCTTACGAGCGTGTGACCCTCCCGCCTGTGGCCCACGCCGCTGCTGACCCGCCGGCCGCCTGCTGATGCCACCCTCTGCAGGCACAATGCGGCCCGGGATGCGTCCACGCGAGAGCAAGTTATACATGCCGTGGTAAGAGCTGGCGCTGGGACGTGTTCATGGCCTGGATTGCTGCATGCTCGCCGCTGCCGGTCTTGTGCCTGTTGGTGGTCGCCGGCCCGCTGCGTTGCCCCACGTGCCCCATCTGTGCCCCTGGCTCCCCGTCCATGGCCCCTGCACCCCCTCTGATGCAGTACAACCTGTTCGCACGGCGCAAGCCAGAGATGGCAGGTGTGTGGCAGCACGTTTGCTGCACCAAGCGCCGGTTGCTGGCCACCGGGGTGCAAGTGACGCCCGGCTCTGCTGCATGCAAGCATGCCGACGCCTTGTGTGTTTGCTGGCCGTGGCCATATGGGTGCAGGCCAGTTCCAGCAAAACAAGCTGCCAGATTTCATCCGGCGGCTAGAGGAATCCCTGTACAAAATGGCCGCCAGCAGGGTAGGTCGCGGGCCGGCCGTGTCATTGGTCGCTGCCGCCAGCTGCCACCTCTGCTCGCGCTCCGAGGCTGGAAGAGCTGCAGCAGGCTGACCGCTTGCCTTGCCCAACCTGTGCAGGACGAGTACGCCGATTTGAACACGCTCGAGCTGCGGCTGCAGCAGGTGGTGTCGCACATTGTGCGCAAGCCGGGCAGCAGCGGCGCGCGCGCCGCCACCAGCCAGAGCGACGGCGCGGGCGCGGGCGACAGCTTTGTGCAGCAGCTGATGGGCGGGGGAGGGCCCAACAGCGCCGGTGGCGGCGCGGGTGAGGCGCTCACGCCCACCTCCCACAGCCGGCAGCAGGCGCAGCAGATGGCGCTGCTCCAGCAGCAGCAGCAGCAGCAGCAAGCGCCGCAAGCGGCGGCGCCAAACGGCGGCATGCCGTGGATGGACGCGGGCCTAGGCGTCTTGCAGCAGCAGCCGCAGCAGCAGCAGGCAGGGCAGCAGCCGCCCGCGGCGCAGCAGCCCGCGGGCCAGCTCCAGCAGCAGCAACCGCTGGTGCAGGGCGGCGGCGGCAACCAGCTGGCGGTGGCGGGCGCGCCCGCGGGGCAGAGCACCGCGGAGAGCGTGCAGCGGGGCGGCACGGGCAACAGCGGCGGCGTCGACTTTGGCTCCCTGGCGGCGGCAGGTGGGGACGTGACGTCAGCCGTCACGCTGCCCCAGCAGCAGCAGCAGCAGCTGGCGCGGCCCGCGTCGCAGGGCCCGCAGCAGCAGCCCGGCCCCGGCGGCGCGCCAGACCTGGGCGGCGCCCTCACCGCGGCGCAGCTCAACGCAACCTTCATGTCTAATGGGGCGCCGGTGCTGCTGCGCGGCGCGGGCGGCGGCGGCGCGTCGGGCGCCGGCGCCTCGCTCCTGGGCGGCCTGGTGCCGGCAGGCAACGGCATGCTGCCGCTGGGGGGCAGCGGCGTGGGCGCGGGGGCGCTGATGCCCACCAGCCAGGCTGCGCTGCCAGCGCTGGGGGGCGGCGGCATGGTACCGCAGATCAAGGTGGAGGCTGGCGGCAGCATGGTACCGCACATTAAGCTGGAGTCGGGCGGCGGCGGGGGCATGGTACCGGTAGGCGGGGGCTCTGCCGGCGGCATGCTTGGCTTCACCGCCCAGCAGCAGCAGCAGCAACACCAGCAGCAGCAGCACCAGCAGCAGCGGCAGATGGCGATGCAGCAGCATCAGGAGCTGGCTGGGCGGATGATGGGCGGCGGCTATGACGGCATGATGATGCCTACCTCCAATGGCTACGGTGAGCCGCCGCTGCCGCCTGCTGCTGCCAGCCCGCCCAGCTGCAAATCATCTACATGTGACCTCGAGCACCCCGCCGTGCTGTGGTGCGGCTCCTTGCCCCTGCCATGCTGCCTGTGGCCAGGCGCCAGCTGGCATGCTGCTATGTGGTGATTGATCGCTGTTGTGGCACCTTGCTGCCCGCATCCGGTGCAGGCACCTCGTACCTTCCGATGGGCGGCGGCCAGGCGGGCATGCAGGGCCAGCACGCCGCGCTCATGCACCACCAGCAGGCATCGCCCGCGATGTTGCAGCAGCAGCAGCAGCAGCAGCAGCAGCAGCAGCAGTATGTGGCGCACCTGGCGCACCCGGGGCCGCAGCACGGCGGCGCAGGCACTGTCCCGCTGCTGCAGCACCAG